GTAGCTTTCTTGTCTGTACCCATTAACGGTTTTGTCAGCTCCAGAGCTCTTCTTGTATTAGAATCTATTGCCATATGAGTTTGATGCGAGAACTTTGAAGGCTGACTTACAAGGGGAGCAACATCTCTTTGCGTGTATGATACAAACTTAAGGAGAGCTGCTCCTGCTGCCATTTCTAAGGATGAAAACTGTGATGAGACCTGGAGATACTTTGAGAGTTCTGAAACAGTGCGTTGTTCGCATGATGGATCCATATTGAACCAATCAGAAGGAACAAGGGTGAGGTGATAATCTTTCACACGTTCCAATGGAGAGCTTTTTAAGTTCCCTCCTGTTTTATGATTGTGTTGTACCCGAGCATCTTCCAAGTGTTCCTCAGCTATCAATATCTGTTTAAGAAAGAACAGTAACAAAATAAACCCTATTTGATTTTAATTTGGGAAGGTGAGAATGGAAGAGGAGAAAAAAGAGGCATACAGAGAGTTAAAAAATAAAAAATATTAACAGTAAATTACAAATATATTATCTATGTGCAAAGTAAAAGCACAATTCAGACTGGTACACTTCTTAAAAGAATTATGCATTTCAGTGTCTCAACCAAAATAATCACTCAGTGTGCATGTTTAAGTTGACAATTTATTCATTCCAAGGAATTTGCTTTGCATACCAACTGTGAATTAACATTATTAATTAAAATTAATTAATTCTGAATCAGTAATTAAAATTTTTCAGGACTTTGGAGAAGGAGTCTGTTACATTGCACACCTGGATCGTGGAATATAAAGTGTAGTCTTTGGTAATGAGAACTTTGATTGAGGAATTGAACACTACTATTAATCACTTAAAGGTTAATATAAGCATATTAATATATGAATCACAAAATCCTCTGGAACAAGCAGCATGTATGTGAGGAGCATTCTTCCGGCGAACGCTTGTTCATTAACATTAATGCCGTCCGTTGGGATGGGTGAACAAAACACTGCATGCTTGAATTTAAGTCTTAACTAATTTATATTCGAATCGGTCCTGTTAGTAAGTTAGTTGTCGTTCAGCAGCAGACTAAAAACAGTACTGATAATAGAGAAGAAGCAGAGAAATGTTTGTTCTCTTTAGAGAAAAACCTCCTCAAGAAGCCAGAAGTTGCAAGACGTTACAAAGAAGCAATGAATGCGAATTTCGAGAAGGGCTACGTTCGGAAGTTAGAAACTAACGAGGGATAAGATGGTCCAAGCTGGTACCTCCCACTCTTTCCAGTCATTAGGGAAGATAGAGAGACCACCAAAGTACGCATAGTGTTCAACTCAGCTGCACGTTGCAAGGGCATTCCTTCAACAATGCGATGCTTACCGGGCCTAAACTTCAACAAGATGTCCTGGAGATACTTCTCCAATTTAGACAGAGACCTGTTGTCCTAGTAGCGGACATCAAGGAAATGTTTTCTCAGGTTGTCCTCACTGAGAAAGACTGCAAGTATCACAGACTGTTATGGAGAGATCTCGATCCCACAAAGCCTGTGGATGTCTATGAAGAAGTCCATTTAACCTTTGGAGACAGAGCATCCCCTTATCTCACCCAGTTCGTACTTCACAGTCACGCCTTAGACTTTAAAGAGAATTACCCAGCAACAGCTATGGTCCTGCTCCGAGATATGTACGTGGATGATATCCTTCATTCAGAAGAAACTGTAGAAAAGACGCCGTTCTCGTCCATGAAGATTTGATAAAGGTCCTGGGTGGCACTGGTTTCCATGCCCAAAAGTGGTGTAGTAATCGAACAGAGGTGCTAGAAGAAATCCCACAAGAGGATCAAGCAACTGGA